ACACATATGATGAACATGTCTACTGCTTTTAACAAACCCGTGATGTATGTCTAATTATTAACCTCATTTCATAGGTGGGAAGTTGAGCCTCAGGGAGGTGATCTGCCCACGATCATGGAGCTCATAGGAGGCAGAGCTGGGAGTTGAGCCGGGGTAGTGCAGTTTCTAAGTATTTACACTTTATCACGACAGGTCTATTTCCTGGAGTCTGTTGCTCATAATTAAAATTTTTAATTAGTCATTGTCATTTTTATTCGGGGCAGGGAATTTCTCCTGTTTCTCTCTCTCTCTCTCTCACTCTCTCTCTCTCTCTCTCTCTCTCTCTCTCTCTCTCTCTGTTTCTCCCCCAAGTCTTGCCTCCCCCTCTAATATGTTCGATATTGGTCTGGAAATATGCCTGCACTTTGGCAAAATAGTACTATTTTGTGTCTTTGAGTGCTTCTAATATATGCAGATGGCTTCATGCTATAAACTGTGTTGTTTCTTTCCCTCTTCTTTCATTAAGACACACAAAAGTTATCAAGAATAATGCACATCCAGAAGGCAGCCTAAGGCATGAAATTAGACGAATACAATCAGAGCTCATCTCTCACACATGTGGCCTGGGAACCTATTTTCTGATCTTTTCCTTGCACTGGGGTGGGGAACATTTTCACATTTCTTGGGGCGTGGAAAATTTTCGAATCTCCTGGGGTGTGGAAAATTTTCACATCTACCATAGCAAATTATGTCAGCGGCCAAAAGAAAGGGAGGAGAGAAGCCCCTGCTCCACTGGGCTTCCTTTTGTGCTTTATCGACCTCAAGGGTAGGCTGTTCTTGCCAACAAAGCCTTTGTTGTAACACAAGCTGCCATCGATCCTCCCCCCACACAGGGAGGGTTCTTCACAAGAGGTGAAGAAGGAGCCACCCCCAGCTAGACCCTCCTGAGGCAGCCTGGGAGCCAAACATCACCGTGCAAGGGACAAGGGTGCCTTGGGGTCATTTCACCGAGTGGGTCCAGGTACACACAGGGCCAGGGGACTGAGATGAAAACGCAGAGGACGCGGCCAAGTCTATGCTTTTCATTGATTTATCCTTCACACCGAACACAGAGCTTGGCACACAGCTGGTGCTTAATAAATGTTTGTTCCACTGAGTCCCCAGGGCCTAGCACAGAACTTGACACATAGCCAGTGCCTGATAAACGTTCTACTGAGTCCCCAGGGCCTAGCCAGAGCCTGGCACATAGTCGGTGCCTAATAAATGTTCCACTGAGTCCCCAGGGCGTCGTACAGAGCATGGAGCCAGCTGGTGCCTAATAAATGTTTGTTCTACTGAGTCCCCAGAGCCTAACTCAGAGCATGTCACACAGCTGGTACCTAATAAATGTTTGTTCTATTGAGTCCCCAGAGTCTAGCACAGACCATGTCATAGAGCTGGTGCCTAATAAATGTTCCACTGAGTCCCCAGGGCCTCATACAGAGCATGGAGCACAGCTGGTACCTCATAAATGTTTGTTCCACTGAGTCCCCAGGGCCTAGCACAGAGCATGGCACACAGCTGATGCTTAATAAATGTTTGTTCTATAGAGTCCCCAGAGTCTAGCACAGAGCATGGCATACAGCTGGTACCTAATAAATGTTCCACTGAGTCCCCAGGGCCTAGCACAAAGCATGGCACACAGCTGGTGCCTAATAACGTTTGTTGCACTCAGTCCCCAGGGCCTGGCACAGAGCTTGGCACCTAGCTGGGGCCTAATAAATGTTTCACTGAGTCCCCAGAGCATACTACAGAGCCCGGCACATAGTTGATGCCTAATAACATTTGTTCCACTGAGTCACAAGACCTAACACACAGCTTGGCACACACCTGGTGACTAATAAATGTTCCACTGAGTTGCAGGGCTTGGCATGGAGCCTGGCACACAGCTGGTGACTAATAAACGTTCCACTGAGTCCCCAGGGCCTGGCATGGAGCCTGGCACACAGCTGCTACCTAATAATGTTTGTGGGAAAGAAATAGAGCCAGAGGGAGGGAAAGAGAGAATGAAGGAGAAAAGGGCTCGGAGGAAAGAAAGACAGCCTAGCCAGGAGTGGCCACCTCCAAACCAGGGTTGGGATCCCACCCGTGGCACTGACTGTGGCCTAGCAGCAAGTGGCAGAGCCATGCCTGAGTTAGGTTCAGTTTCCCCTCTCATGCCTCCGATTCCCACCTGTGAAACAGAGGTGAAATCACGTCTGCCTCAAAGGGCTGTGTTTCATGCCTGACACTCAAATAGAAATTGTGCTTAACAAACGTTAGGGCCGATTCTCAGTGTACCTACTGCATGGATTTGCAGAAGGCGAAGTGCATCAAGAGCTCCTCCTGGGAGCCTGTGGCTGAGGCTCCACAGCACCCTTGGTCACTGTCCTGTCTCCACCATGAAGATGGAGCCATGTCCCTTGCAGCCCCTGGCTGGGCACCACCTCCCGGAGACTCAGGAAGAGCTCGGAATCGGTGCCAGCCTCGCCGGCTGTGAGCCCCACGGCGGTGATGAATAACTTGTTTATCTGCTGGAGCTGCTCCCACCGATCTCTCGGTGCCTGGCAGGCAGAGGTCTGGAAGGGGCGGGTGGGGACGGGGAGGGCTGGTTCACCAGGCAGCCACCGCCCCTCCTCCCTCCTCCCTCCGCCCCACTCCCCAGTTCAGCATCAACCTACACCTAAACCTGCTTCCTGCACTTTTCTGCTCCTCATCTTTCCCTAAATCCTGTTTTGGAGCAGCAGGTTGAAGTGTTTGAAAACACAGGTTCTGAAATCAGACTGCATTCAAGTCCTGGCTTTGTTACTTGCCAGCCACGTGACTTCGGACATGACTTAACCTCTCAAAACCATCACTCCCCCTGTAAAGTCTCCCCCCACCCCTGCACCCACCCCCCAGAGTCTCACTCTCTCCCCCAGGCTGGGATGCAATGGCACAATCATGGCTCACTGCAACCTCTGCCTCCCAGGTTCAAGCGATCCTCCTGCCTTAGCCTTCTGAGTAGCTGAGATTACGGGTGCTCACCACCACACCTACCTAATTTTTTTTTGCATTTTTAGTACAGATGGGATTTCACCATATTGCCCAGGATGGTCTCAAACTCCTGACCTCAGGTGACCCTCCTGCCTTGGCCTCCCAAAGGGCTGAAATTACAAGGATGAGCCACTGTGCCAGCCTCCTCCCCTGTAAAGTTTGATGAGAACACTACTTATTCACCCTAGAGACAACCCACAAGGGTACCCTCGTCCCCACCTCCCAAAGCTGCCAGAATGCTTTTCCTGCTTGGAACCTTGAGAGCCTACACCCTCCCTTGAGAGCCTACACCCTTACCCTGAAAGGGAGTCTCCAACTCTCGGCCTCCCTCCCACTTTCTTGCACAGAGAAAGATTAGGTTAGGTTAGTCTTTTTGTATTTATTTCTTTGAGGCAAGGTCTTGCTCTGCCTCCCAGGCTGGAGTGCAGTGGGGTGATCATAGCTCACTGCAGCCTCAAGCTCCTGGGCTCAAGTGATCCTCCTGCCTCAGCCTCCCAAAGTGGTGGGATTATAGGCTTGAGCCACCACACCTGGCCTCCAAATTGTATCTCTAATCTACTCCCTCTGCTATGGTCTGAAAGTGCATAGCCCTCTGCCCCCAAATTTTTACATTGAAACCTAAACGCCCAATGCAATCGTATTAAGAGGCAGGCTTTTGGAAGGGTTAGGGTTATGAGGACTCTGCCCCCATGAATGGATTAGCACCTTTGTAAAAGAGGCTTCAGGCCAGGTGTGGTGGCTCATGCCTACAACCCCAACACTTTGGGAAGGCAAGTTGACGGGACTGTTTGAACCCAGGAGTTTGAGACCAGCCTGAGCAACATAGTGAGATCTCATCTCTTAAAAAAAAAAAAACTAGCCAGGCATGGTGGTGCATCTGTAGAGCCAGCTACTTGGGAGATGGAGGCAGGAGGATCTCCTGAGCCCAGGAGGCCAAGGTTGCAGGGAGCTGTGATTGTGCCACTGTACTACAGCATGAGTAACAGAGTGAAACTCTTGCTGTTAAAAAAGAAAAGAAAAGAAAAAGTGGGAGTTGGGCACAGAGGCTCACGCCTGTGATTTCAGCACTTTGGGAGGCCAAGGTGGGTGAATCACTTGAGGCCAGGAGTTTGAGACCAGCCTGACCAACATGCTGAAACCCAACTTCTACTAAAAATACAAAAATCAGCTGGGCATGGTGGCTCTTGCCTGTGATACCAGCTACTCGGGAGGCTGAGGCAGGAGAATCATTTGAAGCTGGAAGACAAAGGTTGCAGTAAGCCAAGAGATCACACACTGTACTCCAGCCTGGGTGAAAGGATGAAACTTGGTCTCAAAAAAAAGAAAAATGAAGAAATAAAAAGAAAAGTGATTGTGCCACTGCACTACAGGCTGGACACCAAAGTGAAACCTTGTCTCAAAATAAATAAGGTTTGAGGGAGCCAGCTTGACCCATCCATCTACCATGTGAGGACATAGCTAGAAGGTACCATGTGTAAGGAACAAGCCCTCACCAGACACCGAATCTGCTGACAGCTTGATCTTGGACTTTCTCCAGAACTGTGAGCAATAAATTTATGTTATTTACAAATTACACCATCTAAGGTATTTTATTATAGCAGCAGGAATGGGCTAACCCCTGCCTATGAATGGTCTCAGGCCTGAGTCACTACCTCCAGAATAACCTCCCTGCCCGCTTTCTCGCTTCTCATCAAATAGTACAAGGCTGTACTATTTCAATTGTTTATGCTTCTTTCCATTTTGCCGAGTGACAAAGTTGCAGATTTGACGTGACTTTATTATGAATATTTGTTGAATGAATGAGTGGGTGGATGGATGGATGGATCTGTCTTCCCTAAAGATCTGTCTCCACCAAACATCCCTCCACATGGGTCCTCTTTCATAAATGGCCCAGTGAGGTAGCTACAGAAAGGGTGAGAAGAGCGATGCAAGGATCTGGCATCTGACTGGCATTTGCACTTCCTTAGGATCCAGAGGGCTCATTCAGGACCATGGAGAGCGGCACCAGCAGCCCTCAGCCTCCACAGTCAGATTCCCTGGATGTGTTTCCCCAGAAGGGCTTACAGGCTGGGGACATCGCGGTGCTGGTTCTGTACTTCCTCTTTGTCCTGGCTGTTGGACTATGGGTAAGTAAGGCCACTGGGGGATGGGGGATGAAGAGAGAAGGAAATGTCTGTTGAAAGGTCCGAAGTTAACCTCATCCTTTCAGAGCTAAGATACTGAGTGCCGAAGAAAGTAATACAAGGTTATAGAGTAATCAGAACTCTAAAATTTTAAACATGCATTGGGTGTGGACTATTGTCAGACACTGTGTTAAGCATTTTCACTTATGTTTCTCATGTAATTTTCACAGGCCCCATGAGAAAGATGCTATTATGATACTAATTTTACAGATAAGGAAAGAAACAGAGGCCCAAAGAATTTAAGATCCTCATCCTGTAAGTAAGTTAGGAGGAGAGCTATCTCCCTTACTTTGAAGCTCGTGTTCTTTTATTTATTTATTTATTTTGAGATGGGATCTCTCACTGATGCCCAGGCTACTAGAATGCAGTGGTGGTGATCATAGCTCACTGCAGCCTCAGCTTCTTGGGCTCAAGTGATCTTCTTACCTCAGCCTCCCAAGTAGCTAATTTTTAAATTTTTTGTAGAAATAGGGTCTCAGTATGTTGCTCAGGTCTCATATTCCTGGGATCAAGCAATCCTCCCATGTTGGCCTTCCAAAGTGCTGGGATTACAAGCAGCCCAACTTTTTTTTTTTTTTTTACTTTAAAGAAAATTTTTTAAAAAAATTTATTTTATTGCATTTTAGGTTTGGGGGTACATGTGAGGAACATGCAAGATTGTAAAGGCAATACAGTCACATGGTTCAAAAATAAAAATCACTTATGACAAGCAATGAAAAATCTCAATATTAGTCCTTTCTCCACAGGTAACTACTATTAGCTTGTTAGTATATTAGCATATTGTTCGTGTCTTTATGCAAATCCAAGCAAATTTTAATATGCATATTTCCTGCTTTCTTAAACAGAAGATAGCTTATACTGTTTTTAACTTGCTACTTTTCACTTATCAGTATGTTTTCGATATCTTTTCACATTAGCACATAGACACTCCTTATCTTCCTCAAAGTTGCACAATATTTCCTTAGATGATTGTGTTGTAATTTATTAAACTAGTCTCAGGCTGAGGGTCATTTGGATTGTTTCCAATCTCTTACTGTAACAAACTATACTAAAATAAGCAAACCCTGGCTGGGCGTGGAGCCTCACATCTGTAATCCCAGCAGTTTGGGAGGCCAAGCTGAGCAGATCACTTGAGATCAGGAGTTTGAGACCAGCCTGGCCAACATAGTGAAACCTTGCCTCTACTAAAAATACAGAAATTAGTTGGGCATGGTGGTGGGCACCTGTAATCCCAGCTACTTTGGAGGCTGAGGCAGGAGAATCGCTTGAGCCTGGGAGGCAGAGGTTGCAGTGGGCTGAGATGGCACCATTGCACTCCAGCTTGGGCAAACAAGAGAGAAACTAAATAACACACTCCATACACTAATTATTTGGGAGGATAGCTATAATATGGGATAAACTCCCTGTAGCAGAATTGTCCGGTTAAAGAATATACACATTAGCCGGGCGCGGTGGCTCACGCCTGTAATCCCAGCACTTTGGGAGGCTGAGGTAGGTGGATCACGAGGTCAAGAGATCGAGATCATCTTGGTCAGCAAGGTGAAACCCCGTCTCTACTAAAAATACAAAAATTAGCCAGGCATGATGGTACACGTCTGTAGTCCCAGCTACTCGGGAGGCTGAGGCAGGAGAATTGCTTGAACCCAGGAGGTGGAGGTTGCGGTGAGCCAAGATTGTGCCATTGCACTCCAGCCTGGGTAACAACAGCAAAACTCCATCTCAAAAAAAAAAAAAAAAAAACGAATATACACATTTGTGATTACACTAGTTTGTGTCAAATTGCACTCCCTGGGGGTATACATCAGAAATGATGAGAAAGTCTGTTTTGTCACATTCTCACCAACAATGTATTGTCAAACTTACTTTTTTCAGACTAGAAAAAATAGTATCTCAAAGTATTGTTAATATGCATTTATCTTATAATAAATGAGGCTGGGTCCCATTACATGTTTAAACACCACTTATATTTCCTTTATGTGAACTATGGCTTCATATCTTTTGCCTTGTTTTTATTAAGTTCTTCTTCTTTTTCTTATCAATTTCCTGGAGCTCTTTATATATTAAGGACATTAACATTTGAGACAGAAGGTCAGGAGCAATGGCTCACAGGTGTAATCTCAGCACTTTCGGAGGCTGAAGTGAGCAGACTGCTTGAGCTCAGTTCAAGAGCAGCCTGGGCAACATAGTGAGATACCATCTCTACAAAAAGCACAAAAATTAGTTGAGCATGGTGGTACATGCCTGTAGTCCCAGGAACTTGAGAGGCTGAGCCAGGAGGACTGATTGTGCATAGGAGTTCAAGGTTGCAGTGAGCCACGGTCATGCCATTACACTCCAGCCTGGGTGACAGAGAGAGAACCCGTGAAAAAAAAGAAAAGAAAAGAAAAAAGGGAAGGAAGGAAGGAAAAAGAAAGAAAGATAAAGAGAGAAATAAAAGAAAGGAAAGGAAAGAGAAAAGAAAGAGCCGGGCACGGTGGCTCAAGCCTGTAATCCCAGCACTTTGGGAGGCCGAGGCGGGTGGATCACAAGGTCAAGAGATCGAGACCATCCTGGTCAACATGGTGAAACCCCGTCTCTACTAAAAATACAAAAAATTAGCTGGGCATGGTGGCACGTGCCTGTAATCCCAGCTACTCAGGAGGCTGAGGCAGGAGAATTGCCTGAACCCAGGAGGCGGAGGTTGCGGTGAGCCGAGATCGCGCCATTGCACTCTAGCCTGGGCAACAAGAGCGAAACTCCGTCTCAAAAAAAAAAAAAAAAAAGAAAGAAAGAAAAAAAAAAAAGAAAAAGAAAAGAAAGAAAAAAGAAAGGAAGGAAGAAAGAAAGGAAGAGAAAAAAGAGAAAATTAATCACCAACGTGATAGTATTAACAGATGGGGCCTTTAGATGGTGATTAAGTCAAAAGAACTGAGCCCTCATGAATGGGATTAGAGACTTTTTTTTTTTTTTTTTTTTTGAGACGGAGTTTCGCTCTTGTTACCCAGGCTGGAGTGCAATGGCGCGATCTCGGCTCACCGCAACCTCCGCCTCCTGGGTTCAAGCCATTCTCCTGCCTCAGCCTCCTGAGTAGCTGGGATTACAGGCACGCACCACCATGCCCAGCTAATGTTTTATGTTTTTAGTAGAGACGGGGTTTCACCGTGTTGACCAGGATGGTCTCGATCTCTCGACCTCGACCTCGTGATCCGCCCGCCTCAGCCTCCCAAAGTGCTGGGATTACAGGCTTGAGCCACCGCGCCCGGCTGAGACTTTATTAAAGAAGCTCAAGGAAACTAGTTTTACTGCCCCCTCTGCCTTTTTTTTTTTTTTTTTTTTTTTTTGCCCTTCCATTCCTCTGGCATGTGAAGACACAAAGGAGGTACTATCTATGAGGAACAGGACCTCACTAGACACCAAACTTCTTGGTGCCTTGATCTTGGACTTTCCAGTCTCCAGAATTGTAAGAAACAAATTTCTATTGCTTAAAAAGTACCCCGTTTGGGGTATTTTGTTACAGCAGTGCAAAACAAACTGAGACATGAGCCTCAGTTTCTTCCTCTATCATTTTGGCCTAATGACACCAATCTCATATGGATTGGTAAGGGTTAAATGAGGTAATGCATATAAAGTGCTTGGCACAGCGTCTGGCACATAATAAACACTCAATAAATGGTATCACTTATAAACTATCATAGTCAAGTCATGAGCCTGAGAATCAAATGTCTAGGGAGACCAAGTAGGTTATCATAAAATAAATGTTTGTAGTAACAAGTGGCAGGGGCTGTGCTGACCTGAATAGTTTATGTCTCCTCTAAAGACACCCAAATTAAAATTTTCTCAAAAACTGTGGGAGAAACAAAATACATTTGGTATCTGAATCTGGCCCTCAGGACTCCCAGTTTGCAATCCCTGGCCTAGGCCATTTTGAGATGCATCTTATTGCTAATGCCTCCCTCACCCACCTTTCTTGTTTTTTTCAGTCCACAGTGAAGACCAAAAGAGACACAGTGAAAGGCTACTTCCTGGCTGGAGGGGACATGGTGTGGTGGCCAGTAAGTGGTCTTTGGTTCAATTAAAGTCACTTTTTAAAGAATCTTCAAGAGCTAAAATTCTGTACAGCCTTTGATCTCTCAGGGCTCTCTGGTTTCATGTTATTTGAAAGTCATTGTTTAAACTAGAGAAGGCATAGCTCCAGCTCAAATTTGTTTAAACAATGAAAAGAATTCACCAGCTCACCTAAGGGAAAAATCTGGAGTTAGGTTTTAAAAATATATATTTATATAAATATAATATTTGTATTATATTTATATAAAGTGTATAATATATAAAAATATATGTATATAAATGTAATATTTGTATATTTATATAAATATACAAATATTTATATGATATACAATATACTTTATATAAATATACAAATATTACATTTATATAAATATACATTTTATATAATATATACTTTATAAAATATTTTACATTATATACTTTATAATTAGTATTATATACTTTATATAAATATAATACAAATGTAGTTATATAAATAATTATATATAATATATAACTATGTATTATATATGTTATATAATTATATTCATATATAAATATAAACATGAATATATAATTCTAATAATATACAATATAATTACATATAAAATACATAAATAGTTATATATGATATATAATAAATATGTAATTATATATATATATATATATATATATAATCACAACCTCAAATAGAAAACCAGTATCATTTGCTCTACATAGAAAAGCAGGGAATCATATAGAAATAAAATGAAAAAAATGTGCTTTTCTATTCCGGACTCATTCATGCAGCTGCATTTAGTTAATGACTAGGCTAGAGAGAATTCCAAGATGGCTTTATCCACATTTCAGGGGTTTTGGCAGGGGTGGCTGGAATGCTAGGGCTTCACTCTCTTCCTATGCACTTTCATCATTCAGTGGCCTAGCCCAGGTGGTTCCCCCCACCCTCAGGTAGCTGAATTCCAATAGGGCAAAAATGAAAGCTACTAGACTATTAATGTCTTGGCCTGGAAGTGATACAGTGTCACTTCTACCACATTCTGTTGGGTAAAGAGGGAAGTACAGGGCAAGTACTGGACATGCTGAGGAAAGACTTGAGAAAGCCCTAAGCTCTTGCCTCTGGCTGATCTTGAGGCTCTGCACAAGAAGGAAGTGCAGCCTAAGGCAGAATTATAAGCTGGGAAAATTGCAAAGACTGGGAAAATTATAGGTTTCAGGGATTTAAGAAAATGTCTGTTCAGTCATTAGCTGCCCAATAAACTGAGCATAGATTCCAGTGGCCACACATGACAAAGAATACAGACTTTATAAACATAATTAAGAAGGTCATGAAACAGTAGAAGCAGCAACAGCAACAAGAATGAATAAACAATAAACCTTGAAGAGTAGGAATGATCAGATTTCTAGAGTTTTTAGTGACATTATTTTAAATGTCCACCTTTAACAAAAAAATAAGACATAGCAAAAAAACCCCAAGAAACTATGGTCCATTCACAGGGTGGAAAAAGCAGTTGACACAAAGTGTCCCTGAAGAAGGCCAAATGTTAGATTCACTAAACAAAGGCCTTAAGTCAGCACTTTTAAATATATTAAAACACACACATAAACATGCACAAGCCATGTCTTGAAGACTAAAGAAAAGTATAAGAACACTGTTTAACCAAACAGAATATATCATTAAAGAAATAGAAATTATTTTTTTAAGTAGAAATTCTGGAGTTGGAAAGTACAATAAGTGAAATAAAATACTCACTAGAGGGATTCAACAACAGATTAAAGCAGGCAAAAAAAAAAAAAAAGAGTCAGTGAAATTGAAGATAGATTAATTGAGATTACCAAGTCTGAGGAACAGGAAAAAAAAAAAAAACAAGTCTCAGAGATCTGAAGGACATCATCAAGCATAATTAACATACACATGTTAATTAACATACACATTCTCCTGTCTCACATGTAGTTCCAGAGGAGAGGAGAGAGAGAGAAAGGGGCAGAAAGAATAGTAAAAGAAATCGTGGTTTAAAACTGACTAAATTTTATTAACAGTATTAATCTATGCATTCAAGAAGTATGATAAACTCCAGTAGAAGAAACTCAAAAAGACTGATACCTAGATACATCAAATTCAAACTGTTTAAAGTCAGAGATTCTTGAAAGCAGCAAGAGAGGAGCAATTCATAACATACAAGAAGTCTTTGGCTGGGCACAGTGGCTCATGCCTGTAATCCCAGCACTTTGGGAGGAATGGATCACTTGAGGTCAGGAGTTTGAAACCAGCCTGGTTTCAAAGAGGTGGGTGGATCACTTGAGGTCAGGAGTTTGAAACCAGCCTGGCCAACGTGGTGAAACCCCATCTCTACTAAAAATACAAAAAAAAAATTAGTTGGGCATGATGGTACAGGCCTGTAATCCCAGCTGCTTGGGAGGCTGAGGCAGGAGAATTGCTTGACCTGGGAGGTGGAGGTTGCAGTGAGCCGAGATTGAGCCACTACACTCCAGCCTGGGCAACAGAGTGAGACTGTCTCAAAAAAAAAAAAAAAAAAAGTCTTCAATAAGATTTACAGCTGGTTTTTCATCAGAAACCATGGAGGCTCAAAGTACTAAAAGAAAAAGCTTATCAACCAAAAATTTTATATTGAACAAAACTATCCTTTGAAAAAGGGAGAAATATATACATTCCTAGATTTTTTTTTTTTTTTTTTTTTTTTTTTTTTTAGACGGAGTTTCGCTCTTGTTACCCAGGCTGGAGTGCAATGGTGCGATCTCGGCTCACCGCAACCTCTGCCTCCTGGGTTCAGGCGATTCTCCTGCCTCAGCCTCCTGAGTAGCTGGGATTACAGGCACGTGCCACCATGCCCAGCTAATTTTTTGTATTTTTAGTAGAGACGGGGTTTCACCATGTTGACCAGGATGGTCTCAATCTTTTGACCTCGTGATCTGCCCACCTCGGCCTCCCAAAGTGCTGGGATTACAGGCTTGAGCCACTGTGCCCAGCCCGATTTTTTTCTTTTAATGAGAAAATTCATTGGTAGAAGACCAACAAGAAATTCTAAAGGTAATCCTTCAGGCTTAAATAAAGAAATCAGAGAATAACTTGAAGTCTACATGAAAAAAAATAAACAAAGAGCACCAGTGAAGGTAACTATGTAAGTAAATATAACATACAATATAAATGGGTTTTTGATTGTAACTTTTTCTTCTATCTAATTTAAAATACAACTGCATAAACAGCTAATTATAGAGTTTCTTTTATGGACATAACAATATGTAAAGATGTGATTTGAGTGACAATGCAGCACAAAGAAGGAGGAAGGAAACAGACCTATATAGGAGCAAAACTTTTGCATACTGTTGACGGTAAGTTGCTAGTAATCCAAAATTGATTTTTATGAGATGTTAATTAGAATCCTCAGAGCAATCACTAAGAAAGTAATTTTAGAAAATACTAACAGAAACTATTGTTTTAATAAGGGAACTTAAATGGCATACTAGATAATATCTGACACTAAAGGTAATGGAGGAACAGGAGAATAATAAAGACATTAGAAATATAGTAATTTCATGGCAATATGGAAAACGTAAATTCTACTTTGCTGGTATTACATTAATTTAAATGGATTAAGCACTCTAATCAAAAGGCAGAGAATGGATTTAAAAAAAAAAAAAACATGATCCAACTGTATGCTGTCTACAAGAGATATACTTAGATCAAAGATACAAATAGGGCTGGGCATGGTGTCTCACACTTGTAATCCCAGCACTTTGGGAGGCCAAGATGGGTGGATCACTTGGGCTCAGGAGTTTAAGACCAGCCTGGATAACATGGTGAAACCCCATTTCTACCAAAAATACAAAAAAGGAGCCAGGTGTGATGGCATGTGCCTGTAGTCTCAGCTACTCAGGAAGCTGAGGTGGGATGATCACTTGAGCCCAGGAGGTTGAGGTAGCAGTGAGCCAAGATGATACCACTGCACAGCAGCCTGGGTGACAGTGAGATCCTGTCTTTAAAAAAAAAAAAAAAAAAAAAAAAAAAAATAGGTTGAAAGTAAAAGTAAAAGGATGGCAAAAGGCTGTTTAATTAAACACAATATATTTCAAACAGGTTGAATGTAAAAATATATGCCATACAAACAGTAACCATAAAAGAGCAGGGGTGGTTATACTAATAACAGACAAAATAGGCTTTAAGACAAACATTGTTACCAGAGACAAAAAAGAACATTACATGATGATAAAATGGCCAATCCCTTAAGAAGACATGACAAGTATAAACGTATTTGCACCCAACGACAGACTCCCAATATATATGAAATAAAAACTGACAGGATGAAGGGAGAAATAGACAATTCAAGCACTAAAATTTGGTGACTTTAAGATCTCACTTTCAGTAATGTACAGAAAAACAAGATAATATCAACAAGACAATAGAAGACATGAACAACACTATAAAGCAAATGACCTAACATATATAAAATAATTCATCCAACAACAGCAAAATACACATTCGTCTTAAGTGCACATAGAACATTCTCCAGAATAGACTATATGTTAAGCCATAAATAAATCTCAAGAAATTTAAAATGATTGAAAGAATACAAAGTGTGTCGTCTATCCACAGCGGAATGAAATTAGAAATAAATAACTTTGGAAAATCCCCAAATACATATAAATTAAACAACACGCTTCTAAATAAACAATGGGGCATAGAAGAAATCACAAGACATATTAGAAAATACTTTGAGATTACTGAAAACAAAAACATAGCATACTAAAACTTATGAGATCCAGCTAAAGCAGTGGTTAGAAGAAAACTTATACCACAATGCCCATATTAAAAAAGAAGAAAGATGTCAAACCAATTACCTCATCTTTTACATTAAGAAAATACAAAAGAAAGGCAAATTAAACCCAAAGCAAGCAGATGGAAGAAAACAATAAAGATTAGAGTGGAGGTAAACAAAATGGAGAACAGAAAACTATTAGAGGAAATTACCAAAATCAAAAGTTTGTTCTTTGA